TTTGCATTTTATATATTTTTTATACAACTCATCATAATTTTAACAAAATCTACACAAGAAGTAGCATAGTTTATATTCACATTAGCCACTATTAATTCTTTATGATTATATTTAAAAATATAAAAATTAACATTGCAAATGGATGAAATTTAAGGAACGTAACTAAGAGCAATGAAAAAAAAAGTATAGGAATTAATACTAAAACAAATTAAAAGTATAAGAACTAATAGTTATATTTTCTTCATAATTTATTATTAAATGTATATTACTACGCATAAAATTATCCCTCCATCTTATTTTTCAAATCATTCAAGGTTATTAGTGTTTAGAAGAAAAAATTCGTTCTTGAATTAGGGTTTGACTATTGGCACTAAATTACTTGGGTGTGTCAGCATTTTCCTTTCAAGGTGATCCTTATGATTTAGGGCACTATATAAAGTTTGTGCTTAATTTGACCAGGTTTAAATAGCCAATTAGATCTTTCTTTCTTTTATTGTTCCACGAAGTTATTCCACTAACATTAATTTACCAAACATTGAACTTTCTTATTTACCATTGTAAAAGTCACTTGCTCAATCAAAGTCTCATTACCTATTCACAAATTATTTAATTTCAAAATTGGAGTTTTCATTGTCAATGAACAAATAATCTTATTAAAAATCCTTTTGTTAATCTTGTAATTTCATTGAATCCGATCAGAAACAGATCATACTAAAGATAATAAGAAAATCGATTCAAATACCAATAAATATGTTGGTTTTTCATTGCATTACACTGAGTATGAAAAATACTATTTACAATTTGTGAATAATATGGTTTGCTTTAAATTTTATACTTTTATGTTGCTACTGATTTTTTTTATGAACAAGTGAAACTAATGAAAATAAAACATACAATTAACATGTACATGTTGATGCTGATATAAACATTGAGAATGGATGGTATTCATATAGTACCATCAATATTCATGTTGATTACAAATTGATGCTGCTCTTTGTTCAACACGTCTTGCTTGGAAGATATTCTCTGTTCATTTTTATCTGTCACTTTTTCAAGAAAAAAAATGTATTTCTATTTATTTGTCACTCTATAAGTTCAAGACAACATTAATTGTTATTTTTTCAATTATACCCTTGTCTACGACTGGGTACAATTTTCACCCAAAAAAAAAATAAGGGCTCCTTAGAAAAATTAAAATAAATTTTAGTATATTAATTTCATTTTTTTAGTCCCTGTAAAAAAAATTTAAAATGAAAGATAAAAAGCAAAGAGGAGAACAAGTTTACCCACTTTTTTCTTGTTTTTTTTATGCTCAAGTTTACCCACTTTTACTTGTCAAAACATTATTATTGGGCTTTCACATTGATTTCAATATAAATAAAAGGCTAAATTATGTACAACTCCACTAAACTTTGAATTATATACAAACAATTCTCTTAATCTTTAAAACTTAATGATAGACCTCTTTGAACTTTCAGGTTTATGCAAATAACCCTTAGTTATTAATTACATGCCCCTTAAACTTTATTTTTATGTACATTTAAGCCCCCAAACTTTAATTGATATATGAATAATTTTTTAAACTTTAAGTTATATATATAATTAATCATATAAATTTTTTTATTGAAATTAATCATATAAATTTATCTACATAAATATAATAGTTTAATTAGATTCATTATAAAATTTTAAAAGTTAATGAAATTATGTATACGGGATTCAAAGTTCAAAAAAGTAATGAATAATTTAATCTAAATGCAAATATGTGCCGATAATATTAATCTGAATTTTTTTGGCACTAGAGATAAAATTTCAGACAGAATTGGTCTGATGGAATTAGAAACATTCTCATGATAAAATTTTACCTTCTATTAGACTAGTCCAAATTTTTTTGAATAAAATTTTAACTTGATTTTTAACATGACAAGATAATTGCCAAGGTTATTATTAATTGGAGGCCCATATTGCTGCTCTTTCTTTATCTTGGTTGTATTTTATGGGTCATAAAAAGCCCACCATATTCCCCAAGGCCCAAATTCACTATACAATAAAACACCCATACATTATAAATCAATATATTAATCCACCAAATATCATTGCCAATATATCCAAAGTCAATATCAACAATGAATGATCTAATGAAACATATAGTAACACATACCCCCCGGTTCAATTTGTAGGATAAAAAGAAAAAAAAATTAGTTTTATTTAAAGAGTACTTGTCAATTTTTAATGTTATTCTTTACATTTTTTGTCATTATTAAATATTTTGAATAAAAATATTAATAATAAAATTTAAGAATATTTATTAGAAATAAAGATGAAAACTTGTTAAATTTTAAAATAAAGTTAATAGAATTTAAATTTTTTCTTAATTTCGATAAAACATGATGAAAGTGATTTATAAATAAGATTAAAGAGAGTATTATTCATAGTAATATATAGGGCCCATTTGTTTAAGATTAAAAAATAATTAATTTTTAAGTAATTTAAAGATTTTATAAAAGGAGATTTATTTTGTCAATATTTTATAAAAAATAGATATTATTTTATGTTTGGTTATAATATAGTTAGTTATTTTTAAATTTTATGACATATTCATTGATTTTTTTATAAAATTGATTTATTATTATGTTATTTTAAAATTTTATGATATTTTTGCGTATTGTGCCTGTTCAAAACACTCTTTCTCATTTATTACATTAGATTATAAAGTTATTAAAAATACCTTCTTAAAAAGGTCAGAAATCTTTTTCTTATTTTAATTATTTTTTAAATTTTAAACAAACATCTTAAAAACCAAGGTACGTAAAACCGGACCGATCATTGAATCGATTATGGTACTGGGTCACGGGTTAGTGGTTTAATTAGGGTTGAACCCGAGGTTGAACCGGTGGCAAACCGGTCATGATTAAAATAATATAATTTAAATAAAAAGACATTAATTATAAAAATATTCAATTAAATCCAACCACTCAAAAGTCTAACAGTAATAAAATACAACATTTTAAATATCTATAATTACAATTACAATTCTTCAATCTCAAAAGTCTAGAGAAGAGATGAAAATAGAGTTGGAGAAGAGACAGAGATTGAGCTGAAAAAAAGACGAAGAGTCAGAGACTAAGTTGGAGAAGAGATGAAGATAGCAAAGACAGAGATAGAGCTGGAGAAGAGATGGAGATAGAGCTAGAGCCTGAAGAAGAGACGGAGACTAAGTTATAGAAGAGACGCTAATTAGGTTAGGGCGAGAGAGGAGAGACACAGATGAAAGGTCGAACTAAATGCTGTTTGAAAATCTGAATTGGACTTAGCATGCTCTACCTCTAATTTTTTATTTCTTGACTTTAGTTTTAATTTTTTTGTTATCTTATTTCTGAATTCAGCACTTTCAAAAATAAAAAATGAAAAAAAAATTCTCAAAAAAAATAACCCGATTAACCCAGTCAACCCACCGGGTTTACCGGGTTGAACCGGGTTGACCGGGTTACACCGGTTTATTTCGTCACTGGTTTAGAAGTAAACCCAGATCGGACAAGGGACCGAGTCATCGATTTCTGGGTTGACCTGGCCGGTCCGATTCGGGTTTCAATACCATGTTAAAAACTCACAGAGTAGTTTTTTTTTTTTCCAAAAAGTAAGTAGTTTTTTCTTGAAATAAGCTAAAACAAATGGGCCCATAATGTGGTTCAATCCTTAAATCCCATATTTAAAGGAAAAAAATCTCAAATTCCTTATAACGTTAAAAAAGAATTAATTAACCTTATTTTAGTCTAGGGTCATAATGTTATATTATCTTTATTTCATGTTATGTTTCACAAAAAGGAAATTATATGTTAAAACAATTCTAGCTTTCAAAATCATAAATGTTAATAATTCACGACCACTCTAGTTTTTGTTTGTAGTTTAAGATACATTGGCTATGTCCAAGCAATTTATTTGTCACAATTGGAAAATTTTTGTTTTAAGAAAATCTTAAAATGCTCGTCACCACAAAAAGAAGAAGAAGGAGAAGAAGATTGAAATGCCATGTTTATTATTTTATTTACTTAGATCATGAAATCATGTGCCTCCTATCTGAGATAAAAAAGCTTAAATTTTAACCATTTTGCAAGGGGCTAACACTATTATTTTCTTTTATGGAGCATAGTATTTTTTTATTAGACACAATCTTGTTTGATATACAGTTAGATATTAAATGTATACATTTTTTTAAAAATATTCAAATTTTGGTTCACTACATTTTAAGGAACTTATTTTTTTCGCTAGTTCCAATCCCATTGGTTATTATTTTTAAATATAGTTTGAATACTTAATTTTATTTTAATATTATAGGATTCTTAAGATTCAACCAGTAACTTTTTTATTTTCAAGTGAGTTCAACTTCAACCAGTATTTTTCTTGCAGTTGAAGATGTAGTGAAACGCACCCTAGCAATTTATTTATTGAGTAGTTAAATAAAAAAAAAAGCTTAAAAAATTGGAATGCAATGTATATGATTTTATATACATTAAGACCATATGACATCATGTGTCTCATATTTGAGATTATTTAGGCCAAAAAAACAATATTTGAGATTAAAAACAAAAATTCTAATTTCACATCTTTATATTTTATTAAATAAAAAATTATTTTTTAATTTTGGTGAGATGGGTATACATTTTGGGTGTGAATTCTTTCCAATTCCTTCTCATCCTCTTCCATTCTTTTTCCTTTTTAATTATTAAATCAATATTTAAATGGTTTAAATTTAATCTCTTATAAAATTATTATTAAAATATCAAATTATAAAAAATATAAATAATAAAATTCAAACTATTAAAACTTAATAAGAATAATTTAAAAATATAGTAAAAATAAAATAAAATGAAATATTTTGAAGAAAATTAAATTTCAATTATTTAAAATTTTAATCTAATAGTTAAAAAAAAAATAAATTAAAACAGGTTGAGAAGGAAGAGGGGAGACCGTATATTCTGTAGGTTGGCTTTGCCTTATTAGCAAGGGAACATACAGACGGTTCTGGAAGGAGAAGCTGATTATTGTAATCGTCTGGACTATAAATTTGTGAGGAGGGTGACGTGCGAATTTTGTTGCTCTGAAAATCGCTTTCTATTTATTTTCAATCATCGAAATAAAAATCCCTAGACTGCGAAATGGTCTTGATCCAACAGGAAGAGGTTGGGACTGAAGAGAGAGTTGTGAATCTGTCTGAATCTGCGGAAACTGCAAAATCGTCAGCCTCCTCCAATGTCGATGACAGTAAAGAAGCTTCCGATGGCTTTGAAACCGCCAGCGACACTGAACTCGGCGGCGAGGTGGAGGAACGGGAACAACAACATCAACATCAGGAGCTGGGGATTCCTCCGGGAACTGATTCTTCCGAAGAGGCATCACACGATGAGGAATTGAAACAGGTTGTGTTTGGCGGTTCTGAGTGTTTCCTTAATTGCGTTTTTGAAAATTTCCTTTTTCGTGAGTGGTTTAAATTTTTGGTCGTCTTCGACCGAAAAAAAATTTGTTTTTGGTCATCACTGATTACCGTGGTGGTCACGTTGTTAATTGTGTGATGTCCTTTAAACCATTCGTGAGGGCGAAAACATTGCAGAGTTAGTATTTCAGGACATACCCATATAAATGACATAATCTAAAATTACCAAGGCTATTAAATCTAGGAAGCATTTGAATATCATACTGCTAGTGCCAATCTGGAATCATGTGATGATGGAAGTTCTTGGGCTTGTCCATAACTATTACTGCCTTAAGTGTTTAACAATTAACATCATCCTTGACCTTTACTAATTTGTTGTTCGAGCGGCAACTTACATGTTATGAACTAATAAATGATGAAGAGTGAAGTGTTGGGATTCTAAAGCTGCTAAATTTGTTCTATGGAAACGGTATTGTTTAAGCTTGGTCTTTTGTAAATGCCAATTTCGAAAATAACAACCGAATTAATTAATCAAAGCTGATGGGCACAGTGCATTTGAATTTAATGGCTGACTATGTAAGCCACCATTTATTTTCTGGTATTATATTGGTGATGATTCAAAAATATGGTTTGGACAGATAGAAAAATGTTTTTTGTTGTATAAGAATGGTCGGAGATATAGAAGAAGGGAAAGAGAAGGAAACAGAAGGAGGGAGGGATAGATAGAACAAATGAACCGGCGTGGTGGGGGAGCAAGGAAACTGAACACTCAAATCTTCATCGTTCCAAAAGCCTAATTACAACTAACCCAACCCGTCTAGTTATAGCCTAATACCCTTGACCTTAATTAACTAACTAATCCTAACTACTAGTTACCTCTTAATTAACTCCCTCTTTATTTATTTATCACAAAAGTTTTTCTTTGAATAAGAGGAAATGGCTAACTGAGTTTTATTACTTTCTCTAGCAGAAAGCATTGGCTCAAGCGAATGATGCAAAATTAGAAGGAAATGAGCTATTCGGGGATGGTCAATTTGAGGAGGCACTATCAAAGTATGAATTTGCTTTACAAATGGCTCCAGATATGCCTTCATCTGTAGAAATTCGCTCAATATGCCATTCAAATCGTGCTGTATGCTTTATGAAATTGGTATGTGCTTCTTTTATCTTTTCAAATAATTGCAGTCATGAGCACATTCTTTTATTTTTCTCTTTCACGCAGGTTAAATAAATGAAGTACTCTCGATCAGCTGGACAGCTTATACCTAATAATGTTGTATCTTTTTTATTGATCTTGCTAAGTAAAAGAAATAACTTCTAAACTATGGATTGATGTTCAAAGTTGGTATTACTCCCATGCTTATCTAGATCTGTAATCTGTTTGTTACTGGTTCAGAAGTAGGTATTAAGTATTATTTGCCCAGTTTATATTTTTGATGAGGATTTTTTTGTTGCTTTAGGATTAATTGAATGAGGTTTTATTGAAAATTGACTGCTTTGTGAGAATTTAACCTTGGAATTAATTAATCTTAATTTGTTTTACATAAAAGAAGAATTAATTACGGACCAAGGAAGATACAAATGCAGAGGATTCGGTATCCTCCAAAGAATATAAAGTTCAAAATGAAAATGCAGAAAACAAGTGGAAAGAGAACGTGATTGAAGCTGCAATTCTGAGAGCCCCTCTGTGACTGTGTATCCAAGGGGAACAGTCTTAAAAATTATTATATGTTGCATGGAAATTAGATGGTTGCTCCTTTTAGACCACAATATAAGTTGCTTTTTAGAAGCACCTCTTGGTCCATTATATAGGTCATTGGGTAAATTTTATGTTTGTTTTTCCATTTATACCCTTGTTATTTTTTTATTCCTTGTCTTTGAATGCTCCATATTTAAAGACACATGTTAATGAGAACTCTTAAAAGGTTATATATGAAAAATTGTGGACATTTTTAGGAAATTAAGGCTTCAACTAGCATTTTCCGTAAGTGTGAATTAGTGTCTTGTATTATGGACTGGAGGGAGTATTACTTAATGGGATCAGCCGGAGTGAAATCTAATCCATTTTTTTAAAGTGGTCTGTATAACTTATATTCAGACAATGGAAGTGGAGACTAAATCACTTGTGTTGGTTAGAAGGGCAGCCTCAACAACCATGGTCGTTTTAAGTGTGATATCTTTGTATCATTCTTGTAATTAATTAATTTTAAGTTTGATACCACTTTCCTTTTAATTTCTCATTTAAGGATTTTAATTAATTGCCTCAGGGGAAATATGAGGACACAATCAAAGAGTGCACTAAGGCATTGGAACTCAATCCTGCATATCTGAAAGCTCTGGTGAGAAGGGGGGAGGCGCATGAAAAGCTTGAGCATTTTGAAGAGGCCATTGCTGGTGAGTTGAAATTTTTGTTTGATCATACTGAATATTGTGGTACAGTCCTTTTTTTTTTTTAAAATTTGGAACAAGAGCGGTAGCCTGAAGTTATAAGTGGAATTGAATCTGTGACTTCCCACTTATAGGGGAGCTTATGGGCCACTAGGCTAGAAGGCTACTGGTGTGGTATAGTCCTTAATATATGTCTTAGCTCACATTGTATTAGTATGCAATTTACACAGTAATGGGAGAATGTACAGTTTTTATTGTTTGTTGGACTTGATCTAACTCTTTTCCTTTCACAATTACTCTTCAAATTGGCAGATATGAAAAAGATTTTAGAAATTGATCCCTCAAATGATCAAGCTAGGAAAACCATTCTGAGATTGGAACCCCTGGCAGCAGAAAAGCGGGAAAAGATGAAGGAAGAAATGATCGGTAATTCTTCTTTCCACTTTTCCTTTCATGTTTATAATCTGCGTGGATGGGAAGCTTTTTATTTTATTATATCTGTTCTTATTGTATTGTTGAACTTTGTAATTTATTCTCCAATAGGACTTGCTTCATTCTGTCCTCTTTCTTTCTCCTTCCCTTCAAACTGACATGGCATGATATCTATAGTTCCAATGTGTATTGTGAAAATGTTACAACATATAGATGAAAAGATATGGAAAAAGGAAAAAGAGAAAAAAAGAAATCAGACCTTTGATGATATAATTGTTTTAACAATGGGATCTGTGGTTGCCTCTTGTCGAGAAGCTTTTCAAGCACTGGGGAGTAAACTGGTAATTATGAGAAGTAATCTGATGACTAATTTTAAACATTATGCAATTTATGGATCAACCATGTAACTCAGCTAACTCTAGCACTTGAATTTCATCAAGGAGTCATGCTCTTTAATGAACGCTCAGGATGTCTCTTTTGTCTGTGTTCTTTGCAATGGACACTCTGTTAACCTTTGTTGATTGCAAATCTCGAGGGAGCAACTTTATGCTGGTCTGGTTTAATAGGTGTTGGACATCCTTAAAACAATTAAATAATTTGTTCTGTTGGCCACTTTGGGATTTACTTTAGATAAATATGATGGCCTCTTATCTATTTGCCCCCCTTTTACAAACTGACAGCACTACATTGATTACCAGAAAGTTAGATAACAGGCCTCTCATCTGTTGTATTTAATGACCAGTATATAATTAAACTAATCTAAGCTACCCGGCATTTATTTCAGCATTACGTGATTCTGAATGTATGCTTCGGTAACCTTTGTTAACACTATTTTCTTTTGGGGCAGCTAAACTGAAAGATATGGGAAATTCTTTGCTGGGCCGCTTTGGGATGAGTGTTGACAACTTCAAAGCTGTTAAAGATCCGAACACTGGTTCCTACTCTATCTCATTCCAACGCTAAGCTTTTCTGAGACTGGTCACGTAGTAGCATTAAGCCAAGAAAGGTGCTGGCTGGAATATTACAGTTGTTGGGCTTTATTGGTCATGCAAGATGATCGGCAAAATGCTAATGTTAGCAGAATGGGCGAACGTCGCTTATATTTATATCTGCTTCCTTTGGGAATTTGTTGATTGATTTATGAATTACGATGTCAAAGGATTGTCACAGATTAGTCTATTACTCTCTTTGACATGTGCTTATATGTTTCAGGGTTTGCGAGCACCTGTTAATTAATATCACGTTGAGAGTTCATATGATTAGTTTTTTTTTTTTGGGGTACTTTCGATTTTCCCTATCATCCTGGCGGTTAAAAAAAAAAAAAAAGATTTTCCCTATCATCCTTGGATTTTTCATGACTGATTGTTAAATGTTCTTTATTGAATGTTCTTTTCCCTGTTATTAATGTTACTTCTTTCACATAATTTCTATATTTTGGGAAAAAAAGAATGAAACGAAAATGTGATTTGTGGATTAAAAAAATTGTTAGGGGATGATAATATGAATATCAATGTTAAATAGTTTTTGAAAAATTGCTAGAAAACCCCTATACAATGTAGAACAATGGTTCTTTCTTATTCTTTTTGCTAGCACAACGGTTCTTGTTGACTCATTGGCTGGTTGGACCCTGATTTATAGTTGGCGACCTTTGTAAAGCTTGCTGCTGCTAGCATTATTGTTGATAATGCTACTACTACTACTCTTATTTACTAGCACTGTTACGATTACCGTTATAGATTTTCCTAGAATTTGGTGGGGTTTCCTGTAATTCATATGCTCCACCCGATTTAATGAGATAAATGCTTGTTTGGATCTTTCAGGTCATCTTTTTTTATTTTTCATCTTGCTAATAAATAAGGTCATTATTGGTTTATTGGTTCATACATATTTAATAAAAGTCTACAAAAAGTAAAACTTTCCAGTTTTCATAAGCAATGAACAATGTGTCTTGTTTTGATTTCCATACAAAATACATGCTCATAGTCCAATTATTTATATGAATATGCGTATCTTTAAGTTACATTCTTCATAGATTAGGAATTGTACTCCAAGGAATGCAAAAAAAAAAAAAAAAGAATTACTTGACTAATCAATGCCGCAAACTAAGTAAGTGGGGAGCATTGTTATTTTATAATTTTATTATTAATTTATTATTTAATGTTTTTCTTAAAATTTCATGCTGGTGCATGGGAGTTAGAGTTTAGTTTATGTTCAGTTTTTTTTGGGCCTTAAGTTTATGTCTAGTTTAAATTACACAAAAGCGTTCTAAGCGTTCTCTAAATAAAAAGTTACACAAGAAAAATTTGGAGGACCAGACAGCTGCGAATATAGTTTTGAGTCTCCAAAAATAATTTCCAAGGTGCTTTTCTTTATGTGTAAGCAATCTGAAGTCTTTATTATGATTTTATCTCACCGAATAATTTGTACTTTCATGTTGCAGGAGATCTAATATTCATTGCTTCTAAAGCCTCAAACTTTAGCACACTCTGTCTTTCGAATTTCAACATAAAATATAAAATACTAAGATTTTTTTTTTCTTCCTATGTTTCTACAACAGATATAAAGTTTCAGGAGGCATACATACCATTTACAAATTGTGGATAAATGTTTTGGAACGTCCGCATGTGTATTTGTTGATTCGAATTAAAAAATAATAATAATATTCTGTCATTTTATACAAGACCAATAAAAATATAGAAACAGATTTAAAAATTTAGAAAATGACAAAAAAAATTACACGAAAGGAGAATATTGTTCAAAAAATAAGTTTAAAATCTCAGAGCTTCTGAATATACAAATTAGAAGTCGAATTACTATTTAACTCTTTCATAAAAAGTTACTAATCTATAGTACCATAAGGAACACACACACACACATAAAATTTTGTAAGCCACACTCTGTACAAGTTAAGAATAATGACGTTATTAATTGCGTCTCATACTCTCATGTGAGCTACATGAAATTAAAAACTTGACTAATCAAGTGATTTGAATCAATATATTATAGTATCAACTAATGAGCTTCATTGTTTATTTATTATTTATTGACGTTTTTTATTTATTTAGTTTTTCAAATTTCATCCTTGTACTTGAGGTCCCCCCAAACAGAGAATAATTTGTAGGACCAGACGAAAGGCAAGGTACAAGGTTTCTTTTCCAGCCGCGAAGGTGTAAGGTTGAGCCCTCAAATTAATTTCCAAGGTTCTTTTCTTTATGTGCAGGCAAGCTTGAGTCTTTCTTTATATTGTAATCTTTTTTTAACACATCTTACATGCCTTTGTTTACATATTCAGATTTGATATTCATTGCTTCCCATTTCTTCTTCAACCTTGAGCAATCTATGTTCTTCAAATTTCTTCTTCTGTTTCCTCCTTTCGAGTTTCAGAAAGAAATCATTCCAAATCAAACACTTGTTCATTCGTCCAAGAACTTGTGTCTACTCCATCTCTCTTCACTTTCCTTGTTCCCAATTCAGGTCAAACTTGTTTCCTTGTTTTCTACGTTTCCAAAAAAAAAAAAGTTGACAGTTTTCTGCATTATATTTGCTTTCTTGTCAATCACATGTTCATAAAAATCTAAAAAAAGAAAAAAAAAACTTGTTTGAACATTTTTTCTTGCTGCTGCTCATCTTCTGCATAGACAAAGTCTGCCGCTTTTCTTTGTTATCAATATTGCATATAAAATCTCAAAAAGGAAAAAAAAATTCTTTACATTAATTACTTGGCATCGTTTGCATCTTGTTGTTGGAGATCCAATATTCATTACTTCCTATTTCTTAAACTTGTTAGCATTCTTAAAAGAAATCATTCCAAATCAATTACATTCATTTACTGAGAAGTTTTGAATTCAAGTTCTCGTGTCTGCCATATTTGTTCACTCCTTGTTCCCAATTTTCAAGTTTAAACTTGTTTTGTTTTTTTCCACACACGAGCAACTTTTCAAAAAAAGAAAAAAGTCATTTTCCTGCATCAACTTTGTTGTTTTATTGTCAATCATATTCCTATAAAAATCTTAAAAACCATAAAAAGCAAAAAAAAAAAAAAAACTTCAAAGTTTTTTTTTTTAAGCTGGTGTCTTGTTTGAAGAGAGTTTGTTGTTTTTCACTGTGATTAATCGGGTATAAGAATCTACAAAAAAAAAACAGAGAGAGCAATTTCCTCATAAATTTTGGAAGTCTTTTCATTATATACTGTTTACGAGAGAGAATCAATAATGTTGCAGGGTAGAATCTGTTTCTTGATAGTGACAACTTTTTAGATGTGGAATAATGAAAGGTATGAATTGCATAATTAATCTCTCCATTTCTTCTCAATCACAGAACTGAACTTGCTTCCTCAAACCTTAAGCTAGGAAGGACAACCACAACATCGCCTCTCATTCACTTTGAATAAGGTGTGTATATGCAGTTTTATAATGTAGCTTTTGCTTCTTTCTTACTGTTTCCCTTAGTGTTATTCTAAGAAAATCACAATCAATGACCTCTTAATATAATAAATTACTTTGCAGAATGGAATAATTTTGATATTGTTCTGCAAGTTAATTTTTTAAAATTATCAATAAGAGAATTGATTGTTATTAAAATGCAAATGGGACTTGTTTTTTCTTAAATGAAAATATATTCACCAAATTATAACACTTGTTATTCTTTACCACCAAGTTATTTTTTTTAAAATTATTAATAAGAGATTTGATTGTTGTTAAAGTTGAAATAAGATTTTTTTTGTTGTTGAATGAGGACTTGTTAATAGAATACATATAACATTCTAAATTTTTCACACTTATTTTTCGCAAATTATAGTTTAATAAACTATTTTAAAAATTTTGAACTCTTAACATGATAGAAAAAGAATTATTCCTATAATAAAAACATTTCACAATTATAGTTTACCATGATAAAAAGGGTCTATCATGTAGAAAGATTTAAATATAATAAATTTACTTTACCACAGTAATTAAGAAAAATAGTCCATTAAATATTTCAAGTGTACATCCCTATTAAAATTGCAAAACCAAGGTCAGCCGAGCAACACTTCACAAACCATGATTTTACTATAAATACTCAATTTAGGCCTAAATATACTTTTTTAAACACTGGTCACCATAAAACAAAACTACCACATATGAGCACACTTGATCAAAATTTTACTTCATAAATACCCAAGGTCAAGAAGGACAGACAAAATTTTCTTAGAATGTAAAATGCAATAATTCATAAATAAAATATACATGCTCAATATATATATATATATATATATTCATTCTAAGTTGGCATAATATACATCTTAATCAAGATAAAGAGGTTGAATTAGAAAATGGTATCTCATACACTGAATAATGCCTTAGGTATTTCTCTAGCCGAACTCACTCTTAAAAAATTTATAACCATGTAGAATGAGACTTAAAAGTCTCCATAACTAAATATTAGTATGTAATAATACACATGAGGCAATTAATCGAGTGATTGCAAAGTGGACAAATAAAACAATTATTTTCAAATAATCTGAATAATTAGTATGATTACACCTTATATCCCCTCCTTATGTCATGCTTAGATGCTAAGTCACCAGGCCAAAGGTGAGTTGGACTAAGCTATATGCCACTTATTGGGTCTAATAAGGGCTTACCATGTGGTAACTCAATTGAACATAAATCTCTACAAAACAATTTTTAATACACCTCAACCAGTCATACATTTATAACAACTACATAGAAATCATTTGGCACATTTTTATATCAATCAAATAATTATCTCATGTTTTTAGTAGTGCCAATATTCACAAAATATTCATAAATATAAGTTTAACCTACTTGGCAATTATTTTTAGATAAAAATATGCATGTATAATATTTCTCAACAAAAATCAAGATTTTTTCAAATAACAAAACAAATGCATAATTAATCATATACACATATACCACCCACATTAATATGATTACCTCATGTCTTGAAAAATATGTTCTATTCGTACAACACCTCTTTCACCACTCTCTTAGACAACAAAATCTGCATAACCATTTAACAATATATGTATAATATTAATTTTATAATACTAAATATTAATTTAATAAATAATTCTAATTTAAAGAGTTTGAAAGTTAGTGCCTCATTTAATTTTTTTTCTAAATTTATTTCTAAAATTCCTATACCTTAAGAGATTAGACCTGAGTCTTAAATGAATCATAATATTAAAATTTCATTAATATTTTTTTTTCTTTCAAAAATTCATCTAAAAATAAATTAAAAATTTAAAAATTATCCTCAA